GAGTGTGGGTTCTCTGCCAATATGACATTTTAACGTCTCTGTAACATTGAGTTGTTAAGAGTGTTAGACAAGTCTTCTATCATTTTTCAATATATTCTTCCATATAAGAAGACAAGAATATTGTATGTACTGTCCCTTCTTCATCTTCCCCCTCCCACCACATCTTATGTTCTATCATCTGAGGTTTTGATTTCAGTTTTTTTCCACTGTCTACACTTAATTTAAAATAAGCTTTAGCTTACAGGGTGGCTGGGTGGCTCAGTCGGCTAAGCATCTGACTTCAGCTCAGGTCATGATCTCACAGTTCGGGGGTTTGAGCCCCGTGTTGTGCTGTGCTGACAGCTGGGAGCCTGGAGCCTGCTTCGGATTCTGTATCTCCCTGTCTCTGCTCTTCTCCCGCTCATGATCTGTCTCTCTCTCAAAAATAAATGAACATTAAAGAAATTTTTTAAATAAGCTTCAGCTTTTAAATTTAATATTTTAAAATTTAATTCCACTTTATTTTTCAACATCTGTGCTTAATTTAACCGTGTGCTTGCTTTTTCTTGTGCTTCTTGGATCCCTGTCTTCCTTTTGTATTCATGTTTCATTTTCTTGAAGAATTAGCTTCTGATAATCATTTCCAGTAAGGTGGGTGATAAGCCTTCCAAATCCTTGAATTACTAAAAATGGTTTTACTTTGTTATGACTCTTGAATGATGCACTTTAGCTGTGGAGAGAGTTCTATTTAAAATGATTTTCCCACCAGCATCTAATGGGCTGGTGTCAATCTGACATGTATTCCTTTCTGGCTAATTTGCTGGCCTTCAAGATTTTCTTTTTATTCTTGATGTTCTGAGATCTCACTTATGTATCTCTTTTTCAGTTCATTCTCTTTAATATGTAGTTCTTTCAATATGAGAACTCCTGTCTCTCTTCCATTCTGGGAAATTTCTCCCCCCCCCCGCCCCCACCTCTCCCCTCCCTTCCCCCCATATATACTTCCCTCCAGGCTACACTTAGCTTGTGATGAGCCCTGTTAGAAAAATAATGAAATATCTTCATATACTTTCATGTCTCTTTTGTGCTATGTTCATAGAGAATGCTGTGGCCCAAGTTTGCAAATCATTAATTCACTCTTACCGTTCTAATGGTCCATTTCTCTTTCAAGGGTAAAATGTCCTCTCCCATCCGTCTAAGGATGCTGATTTTAGTTCACTTTATGTCTCTTGTTGCTTAGTAATTCTGCTACCTCAGGTATTCATTCAACAAACATTTAATGAGCACACACTCAAATTCAGGCGCTTTTCTGGTTGCTAGAGATTGAATTCAATGTCTCTGTCAAGATACTACCCTTTCTCCTGGATTTGTGAATCTGACAGAGAGTTAATACTTATCTGTAGCTGACAGGCTCTAAACATCTCTGGCAGTCAAACACATTTTATTTCATATGCAAAGTGTCTTAATTTGAAAAGATTGATGTAAAAATCCAGATTTCCCAATTCTCTCAACTTTTGGGACTAACTGATGTCACTGGGCTCTCACTTGTTTTTTTTCAACATTTGGCTGAAGCTGAGTAGAGGCTGTTAAAATATGGCATATTCTTCCCTATTATCTTAAGTGCAAAATATTTTTCCCCCTGAGAGATTCTTTTTTAATTTATCCTACAACCCTTTTATTGACTTTCAAATTTCATTTATAAAATCTTTAGTGTTGGAGAGCCCTTGTTCTCTCATTTTCATAGCATTCTGTTCTTGTTTTGTGGATGCAATATATTCTTTTATTTCATTGAGAATGTTAATCATAGATATTTATTTATTTACTTATTTAATTTTAATTTTTTTTTTTGAGAGAGAGACTGCACGAGTAGGGGAGGGGCAGAGAGAGCGGAAGACAGACTCTGAAGCAGGCTCCTGGATATGAGCTGTCCTCAGAGGGCTTGAACTCATGACCTGAGCCAAGTTGGATGCTTAACTGACTGAGCCACCCAGATGCTCCTTATTTATTTTTTTAAAGTTTATTTATTTATTTTGAGAGAGAGAGGGAGTGTGTGAGTGGAGGGGGTGGGTCAGAGAGAGGGGGAGAGAGAGAATCCCAAGCAGGGTTTATGCTGTCAGCACAGAGCCCAACATGGGGCTCCATATCACCAACTGTGAGATCATGACTTGAGCCGAAATCAAGAGTCAGATGCTCAACGGACTGAGCCATCCAGACACCCCAGATTTTTTTTTAAATCAAACTTTATTCTGATCTTATAAATTGCCTCTTTTCTCTGAGATTTTTTCCCAGATTCTTTGCTCTTTCTTCTCTTTTTTTAGAGTAGCTTTCCTCAAGTATCTATTGAACCTCAAACATATATTCCATATTTAAGTGTGACACTCAAAGATGCTGATTGGGAGTCTGGATGGGAAGTAGCACGTGTTGACTGGTGAACTTTATTCTAGGATGGACAGTGAAGGCAATGAATGGCCCTTCTAACTGTGGGCCCCAAATGCCATTGTGAGGATATCTTCTTTCTAGAACCATTCATCTTCTCTAGGAAAGAGTCATCAGTCCTGCCAGGAGTGATGGGAGTTGCATATGTGACGTTGTGGGGGGTGATGACCAAGGATCCCATGATCCTTGGGTCAGCCAGATTATCCACTTAAAACTCTTCAGTCTGCCATACTTTGCAGTATTGGATATCTAGTCTTCAAATACTACACAGTTTCTGCAAGAGTAAATATCTCCTGCAGGATCAGGTTGGGTGGGTGGCTGATTTCAACAAGTGGGGAGAAGGGTCCTGCCAGGGTTTAATCTTTTGTATACGGACTATCGGCCAATTCTCTCTTAACAGCTCCATGCTTCTTTCTCTCCTTCCAAAGTCACCTCCACGTTCTCATCCTTGTTGTTTTTTTTTTTCTTTTTTGTCTAGGAAGATATAGAAATGTTTCCTCTGCTCATGTCTCTTTCTTGTGTGTTAATAAATTTTACTGTGAGATTAGTGGAAATTTGCTAAGGAAGGGAGATAAATACATGTGACCAATCTGCCAGGTTGAACTAGAAATCTGGCTGCATAATTTTGCCCTCTTATAGATAGAAAAATCTCATTTACACCCCTTGGTGCAATAAAGTTTGGGTATCCTTAAATAATCCTAAAAAACAAGGAATTAATTAGTATTGCATTTTGTGAATTCTGCGACACCAAACTGTGTGAATCTAGGAAATCAAAAGTACCAGCTTCTCCTCCAGTTCACACTTTTGGAATATAAATACTTTTGCCATTTACCTTAACTGTACTTCACATCAAGATGGCATACCTTTAAATAAAAACATTTTAAAATTAAAAACTAGAATTCTATTTTCGTCTTCATCTGCCATGTGACTTTTCTGGGCACACGCGATTCATGGTTTTGTGATTTATTTTTAGAGGAGAACACTAAAGAATGGAACAACCACGGCTTGTTACTTTGGAACAATTCACACTGACTCATCCCTGCTCCTTGCAGAAATTACAGGTGAGGAAATGAAAGCATGATGTATGGGCACATCCATCTAAGACAGTCAGACCATGTCCGGCAATGACTTCTACTTGTGAGCAGTCCCGCCTTTTAATTGCTGGAGTTTGAGCACCGCCTTTCTTGCGAGTGTAATTAGGTGTTTGTGTATGGCCCTTGGATGTTTTCTGTTGTTTAAGTAATTTGATTATTTACCTATGGTTTTGGTTTCAGAATGGTGTATACGGGTCTGAGGTTTTTGTATTAATTTAGAGCATTTTGGAACAGGTTTACTAATTGTCACTGTGGCAACAGTTTTTTATGATCTGCAGATGTTGTGTTGGCTGCTGGCTACACTTAGGAGACTGTGCGAGGTGCTGGGAATACAATGAAATAGAAAATCGTCTCTGCCCTTGAGGAGCCAGACAGGATTAACTGACTAATAGCTACACACATTAATTAATAACTGTAGTAACAGCTGCTGTGCTCTTGGTAGACGCCCGGCTTTACACGGAGCACTCGGTGTGGATTATTGCCGCTCAGTTGCAAACAGCCTTTGGAAGTAGTCGTTAATGTCCTCATGTTACAGATGCATAAACTGATGCTCAGAGGACGGAACATGCCCAAGTCATACAGCTAGTAAGCAGAAAGGAGACTGGATTTAGATGAGCGATTCCAAAATTTGTACCTTGCACAGTGCCCAGAACATGGCAGATGCTAAGTAAATACCTCCGGCTCCTCTGGCTGATGCACTGATGCTTCTGCTTGCTGGCTAAGGTAGTTTATACCAGAGGCCTGAAGGGTAGCACTGAAAATATATATTGCTATTTTGGGAGGAGACGGAGAAAACTCAGAATTGGATCATCTGCAAAGAATTCACAGAAGGGACTTTTAAACAGGGTTCAAAAGGACGTAAAATGGGGAGAAAGGAAAATGTCTTCCCAACAGGGGAAATGACATGGACAGAGGCGTGGGAGCAGGAACATCCATAGTAGATCCAGGAAGCAGGGAACAGAGTAGCTAAACTGGAGGACAGGATTCATTGCTGGGTGGGGTGGGGGAGGGGGTGGGGGAGATGGGACAGTTCAGACTATGCACAGATTCGTATGTGCATCAGACACTCAAGATTTTAAGCCAGATGAGGTATCTGATGAAGGTGGGGTTTTAGGGAAGAATAATATAATGGCCAGGTATTAAAACGAATTACAGGGGAAAGAGGCAAAAAGGCTTTTGCAAGACTCTTATGACAGAGGCACAGACATTGTAAAAAAAAAAAAATTAATATTACCCCACATAGCTTCAACTTTCTAGCTAAAATAAAATTTCTCTAGCACCTCTAATGAGGACTAGGTTCCTTAGGGCTGAGAGCTGCTGGTAGAACTAAGTCAAATTCCCCGCTTATGATACATTCTCACTTACGTTTTCATAATGATTTTAATTGAAAGATTAGGAAAGACACCATTTGGGAGAAAAAGAATGACTTCAGATTCTGTTTGTGTGTGCCTCACAGATAAATTCGGGCAGCGGGCATTTGTGGGCAAAGTCTGCATGGATTTGAATGTTACTGTTCCCGAATACAAGGAGACCACTGAGGTGTCAATCGAGGAGACAGAGAGGTATATTCATCTTGACTTGTCTTGTGGGCCATCCCTTTGCAGCACTGATGGAGGCAACCTCTGTGAACCAGGCGGATATACACATATGTCACTGTGTGGGTTTGCCCCACTTTATGCGGTTGGTCTGGTCCTAAAGAAAATATTGCATGTCAATACTGTTTGGGAGCCTCTGTGAACTCGTTATAGGAGTCCTAGGGTGAACCCCTTTGTGAAATGAAAGATTCTTTTTAAAAGTTAATGATTTACCATTCCCCTCTCCTTTAGTATAGATGAAGGCTTTTGTAAATTGAACTTGCTTTAAATATATGTGGTGTGCTCATTAGATTACTTTTGGTTGTGGGTCATCCTCTTGCCTGAGATCACGGGTTTTTGTTCTGTTCTTTTAAGATGACCTTGGGATACTCTATGGATCCCCAAAATACTCTATCTACACTTCTTTAATGGCTTTTCCATAGTCCCTTTAGGATCTGATTTGACAAGGAATTGTGTTGTATGACCCTCAACATGCAAGAGATCCAGAAGAACATTCTTTAGATTCAAATCTCCCCCAAGACCTAACCTATCCTGATGCAAGTTTTAGAAGCCCAACTTTTCTCCAGTTCCAAACTTCCTTCACCTAAAATGTGTCCTCTGAAAAGGGTGGCTTAGGAACCGTCACCTGCTCCCAGAAAGAATGAAACACGCCTTTTCTCATCGGCCATTTGCTGAATTTTTCTATGGATCTGTGTTTGTGATCGTAGTAAACCTTAATCTGCGTTTTGTTCCAAAACAAAGGTCTACCAGTAGGCAGGAAGCTAGCTAGTAAATATATTCGGCCAGGGCACAAATAGGTATTTCATAGGCCCTACGGATACTACCGTCCCTGCAGATACAATGGGTAAGATTGTCACCCGGTCCCATCTGGTGCCCCCTGCCCCCAATTCACAGCCACCTCTGGCCTATTCCTTCTGCCTTACTCCATCGTCTGTGCCCAGGAGCACCTGGCCTTTGGAAATGAATGATGATGTGTGAGAAAGTAGCTTTCGCTCTATAAAGGAAAATTAGGAGGAGAGAGTCCTATGGCTTCTAAACACCTCCAGGTGCATAGGATTCCATGATTCTAATATCCAAGGAGTGTAACACCCTACAATATGCCCCCAAATAGACCTTAAGCCAGCAGAATGGCTTCCGTGCTGTGGGGATACTTACGAACAGCCCAGCTGATGTTAGATGATAAAACTTCAGTTCCCTGTGATTTCGCACTTTATCTCCCTGGCCGCACGTGAGAAAGCAGAATAATTACTACTTGTTAATCTTTAACTGCTGGTGGTGAAACATGTAGAGCGTTGGAAATGTTTGTCTGGAAGTTAGGACCTGTGAGGATCATGTTTTCACCCTTTTTAAAAACGTATTTTTAAATGCCAAATTTTTCTATTTTCCTATTTGTTGCTGTATTTCAGATTTGTGTCGAGAATGCTCCAAAAGAACGTAAGTAAGCTTGTTCCCAGCTTGTTTTTGGATTGCCTTTGTGCTGTTTGCAGGATGCGTTATTAAGTTGTTGGTAAAGATTAGTCTGCGTGTGTATGGCTTACTCCATGCATGCAGAAATATTTTCCCAGAGCCTTAAATTGTTCCTACAGTGGACCCATCAACCCAGCTCTGTGAGGTCAGGCTTTTTTTGTCTTCTCTGTGGTTTTCCCTTCCTCTTCTCTAGAACCTTTTCATCTCACAGGACTGGTCCCTGGGGAGGTAGGAGGGGGCTTCACGGATGTGGAAAGATTGGTAAAAACTGGAAGTTGGCTACCTCAACGTTGACTCTGGCCTCTTGTACTCCCTGATCTGGTCTGAAGCACAGGTTGTGTCCACCCTGATGCCCCAGCCGTTGGCTGCCTTGGTGCCTAATGTGTGATATATCACATGGCCTGCAGGCATTCAGACACTCCTCTTTGCAATGCCCTAGTGTCGGTGAGCCTTGGAGGCAGTGCTGTTTCCTTTCCCGACCCCAGCATGCTGGTTCTTAGCTCCACTGTGCAAGCCAGCCCCTTCCTTTACCACCTTTTGAGGTCTGATTGAAAATCTAAGAAATCCATTAGTTTCAATCCAATCTCGGGAGATCTACCTGCAGCCTCCTGGGTCCTCATCTTCACTACTGCTCTCCGAGCCCTTCTCTCCTGTTCAGCCTTTACCCTGGGTCACATCAGAGCCAATGCTACCACTAAACGTCCCGAGGGAGGCCACGGCCAGCACACCTCCCCAAGATGTAGGTGGTGAATAGGCCTCCAGCTCACGTTTAGTCTCCCCAGTGGCCTCCTTCGGATGTTCTTGTTTCCCGTTTCTCTTCATGAAGGCCACCCAGTCAAGGCCTTGTCTGAGCCTTCATGTGAATGTGTGACTCGGGGTGTCTGTCATTTAGGCCAGAATCTTCTTCCATTGAACTTGGTGCTGTAGAATCTTGTCTCCATTGTCCTCAGTCATGAGCCATTTCCATGAAACCCAAAACTTCCACCCGCTGTTAGAATGGAAGACTGTCCCCCAAAATGAAAGCATAGTTATATGTGTATGATACGCATGTTAGGGTCTGCTACACATTCATGATATCCATGGTTTCCTGACTAATTGCTCTTTATATTATTTCCAGTATTCTAGAGTGAAGCCCATAGTGACACCACGTTTTTCCCTTTCCTGCTCTGAGACTTTGTTGGGTAAACTGGGAAACCTCGCGAAGACCCATAATTTGCACATTCAGGTGGGTGTTTTCCCCCTAGTTCTGCCTCTGTCCAAACCGGCAAGACTTCTCAGTACCCTAAATTCTTGCAGTAAATCTCCAATTCTTCTCCTGAGATCTAGAGAAATAGCATCACAGCACAGGAAGGGCTCTTACAGACGTCACCTAAATCCACTCCTTTCATTTCTCAGGTAAGAAACCTGAAGCTCCTTTTACCCTTGGTCTTCTCTGATCAGGCTTTGGAGAGACAAGGACATCATGAGTAACCAAGCCAGACCGACGACACACCGGTTACCTGTTCTCTGTAGGATAAATTTCAGGCATTTCTTTCCTACTTCTCTCTTTTATTTGATACTTTTTGTCAGTGTTCTAGTCCTTGATTTTTGGAGGAACCACCCATTATTTGAAAAGCAAAAAGAACCTAATTTCTACTTGCAAAAATGCATTTAAAAGCCCTTTTGTTCTGAGTTTCTTAATTTGAAATCAGGAACAGAAAAAGCATATCTTACTTTGTCATTAAATGGTCGCAATTTAGGAATAAAACCCTTCTAAAGCTTCCAGCTAGGTTAAAATTGGGGGTTGCAAGCTCCCCTTCACACATCCTCCGGGCTTCATCATGTACTGCACTCCAATTTTCCCTCTTAAGAGTTGACTATCTTATCACAATGGGCAAGGGAAGAGAGAGACAACACATTGATTCTATATCAGAGTGGAAGGTGTTCTGTTTTGTTTTAATAAGATTTATTTTGTTAGGGCTTCTCAACTCTTCTCATTATCCCCCGTTTTTTGTGGACTGTGATAGTTGTATTTTTTATTCAATCCCACATAATTGTAGGGGAGGAAAAAGTTTTCCTTAACCTTCTTAGAGTCCCTGGCCACATCTGAAAACTAAATTGACAAAGACAGATTAAAAAGGGAAAAGCATACAAAGGTATTTAATCTCAGCTTTACATGATACAGGAGACTTAATAAGGAAATGAAAACCCAAAGAAAGAGCCCAGAGCATTTCTAGGCTAGGTTGGATGACGAGTGCACAGTCATGGAGGAATATGATCTTTGGTTTGGATTCTTCTGGGCATCCTTTTGTCTTCAGCGATAAGGATGCTTCTTCCCTCCAAGTATAGGGTGGGCACCCCTCACACAAGAGTTTTATTTTATTTCCCTGTTTCAGGGAAGAAGGGTGGAGGAAGGTCAGAGTGACCCTCCCACTTCAGCTATTTTCCTTCGGCTTAAAGTAATACAATATGCCACAGTGCCATAGTTGGGGGTAGTCTGTCCTGAGCTCCATGAAGACACAGCCAAATCAAGCGTGTCCTTGCTGGGGATGTATGAATGTGTGCATGTGCATTTAACGTCTCCTCAAATTTATTACAATGACATGAATCATCTGGTTGTCCTTTTTTCCCTTCAGATGCCCAGGCATTTCTTCAGTGGTCTAAGTTTCCTCAAGGACAGGATAAAGCTCACCCTCTAGGTGGAATACTCTATTTTTAGAACATGGCTCTTTTTTTCTTCTATTTATTTGACTGACACTCTACTTCACGGAGAAGGGAAATGGTATTGCCATTCTTGAAAATGGCAACTTGCTCATGAGGTTTTTTTCCCCCCCATAATATGTACTCATCACCAGTTGGTCTGGAGTGATTTTTGTTTTAGGCTAGGGAGTGAGGTGGTTACACCCAAGTGTTGTGTCTCAAAAACACTTTCTGCCCTGTTGGGGTTTGTGATGTTCTGCAGGTGTGGGGGCCAGGATTCATTTGTTTTGATTGCGTGTGGATTCTTATGGGCTCTTTTTTGGTGACTTCAAGATTGTCTAGCTCAGTTATTGTCAAACTGTTTTCTGCACAGGAGCTCATTCTGGAAGGTGACAAAGGGGACAGAATGACGACAGGGTTCCAAAATCCCAACCCTGCTTCTTCCTGAAAGGCAACTTGCTGATGCCTTTTACATATTGGATGTCTATGAATTTTTATATGAATTTTTGGAAAATCACTCACTTAGCACAACCCTCATATTTGAGAGCTGAGAATGTGGAGGCCAAAGGAAGTAGCTGACTCACCCTAAGACACACAATTAGGCTCAGAACTTGAGCTAACATTTAGCTCTCCTTGTTCAAATTCTAGTTTTCTTATGAGGGAACCATGCTGTCTGTCCCTTTGTGGCCCTTAAACTCTTATCTTAAACGGCTAACCCCAGAAGCAAATTGCCACCGATGGCTAGGCTCTTGACCCTTTTCAACTACTTTTTACTTTCATTTGTTCCTAACATAGTATGGGATTTGAAAAGACTTCATTGGAAGAACATAACATTGGCTTAGGGTTAGGGTTAGAACATTACATGCTCATGTAATGACATAGTCATAGTTAAATTTTCATGCAGCTGTTATGTATGATATGTATCATTGCTTTCAATAGAACACTTGTACATTCTTCGTGGTCTTACATAGGCAAGTAGAATCCATCCTTATCCTTTTGGGGAAGAAGTATAATTTCTGATGGTATTTGACATTAGAAAATTGAAACTATTATTTCTTTTCTTGTAGAGCCACATAAGTGAGAACACCAGTGAAGTAGCAGCTGTGAAGAACTTATTTCCCGATTATAAAAACTACACAGATGTGTATGATAGGAACAATCTTCTGACAAATAAGGTACATTGCATATCGTGACATAACCTGTATACAGCAGGGCATATTTATCTACATTTTAAGATCTCAGGGGCACCTACGTGGTTCAGTCAGTTGAGCCTCTGACTCTTGATTTTGGCTCAGGTCATGATCCTGGGGTTGTGGGATCGAGCCCCATGTTGGGCTTTGTGTTGAGCATGGAGCCTGCTTAAGATTCTCTCTCTCTCTCTCTCTCTCTCTCTCTCTCTCTCTCTCTCAAATAAAAATAATAATAATAAAATAAAATCTCAATAGTAATCTCCAGACTTCTCCAACCTATGTGCATTTCCCAAACTAGAGCATGCACATATGTGGGTAGATAGTTAAAAATGACCTGAAGTTTCATCCCAGTAAAGAAATCTAAAGGCTTCTTAGAAGGAGGATAGGTCGTTTGGCCTAAGGACATTTTGTCAGTATCCATTAGAATATAAATACGCATTTCCTTGAGTTAGCAGATACGTTTTTAAGGATCCATTCTGTACGGGATATGAATAGGAATGTTAATTAATGTGAAAGTTAGAAAATATCTATCAGTGGGGGATTGTTTAGATTATAGAACATTCATAATTAAAATTTTATCCAACATTCACAAGAATGATGTATCCAGGCTTACAAGGAAGAATGCTTGTACAGTATTGCTTGATGTTGTGTGGGTTGCATGCTCAGTTAGAAAGAAATTATCTGGAATACAAACATTGAATGTTAAAAGTGATCCTCCTGAGGGAGAAGGCAGAAGGACTTTTTACTCTTTGTTTTTAAACACTTTGCTATTGCTTTAAAAAAATGAGTGATATTACTTTCATAATTAAATAATTTTACATTAATTTAGATTAATATAGTGAGGAGAGACTTCATTCCACAGTATACCCTTTAGCCTTGGCCTTCAATGAATTGTACAAAGTGCATGGAGAGTTTAAGTACTGCAGCAAATCAGTTCTTCTGGACTTATGTGAACAGAGGGCTGAATATGACTAATCTGAAAGATTAATCCCTTACATAGGTCTTTAATTGCTACACTGTAATTTTCATCCTTCTCTACATCTATTTCCATGTGATTAATAAATTAACCTTCTAGCTGCATGTTAATTTTATTTGCATAGAGCTTGGGAAAATTTTATTTTATTAATTCTGTGGTCACGGAACCGTGCCTCCCAAAAGAGAAAGCTGTTTGAAAACGGGTTTTGTACTGAGGGGAAAAGAATTTTGAACGAGTAAAGCCGTTTTTTTTTTTATTTTAATTTTTAAAAATTTGAGTATAGTTGACACCCAATGTTACATTAATTTCAGTATACAATGTAGTGATTCAACTTTGCTTTGTGTTGTGCTCACCACAAGTGTCGCTACCCCCTGTCACCACACAATGCCGTTATAGTACCTGTATATATTGACTATATGCCCTGTGCTGTGCCTTTTATTTCCATGACTTCTTCCAGAACTGGAAGCCTGTGTCTCCCACTCCCCTTCACCCATTCTCTCCCTCCCCGCCTACCTTCCTCTCTGGCAACCCTCCATTTGTTTCCTGTGTTTGCAGGTCTGCTTCTGCTTCTGTTTGTTTGCTTATTCATTTTTCTTTGTTTTAGATTCCACACATGAGTGAAATCCTCTGGTATTTGTCTTTCTCTGTCTGGCATATTTCACTTAGCATAATACTCTCTAGGTCCATCCATGTTGTCACAGATGGCATGATCTCATCCTTTGTTATAGCTGAGTAATATTACGTTCTATGTGTCTGTATGGATATATGCCATAAGAAAGAGGCAAGTCTCATTCAGGAAAACCCACAAATTATTACCAGGACTGAACAGAAAATTCTCCTGTGTGTGCACACCGCCCACCTTCTTTGATCCATTTTACCTTCCACGTTAACGCTTATAAGACATCACGTTTCCTAATTTTTGTGAAAATGTGAACATGGGTGATAAAACAAAGCTTATTTGGTCGTGTAAACTATACTTCAATTAAAAAAAAAAAAGACAAATAGATGAACAAAGATTATATGGTTTTATGTGTCAAGAGCGTCGTGCGTATGTTTTACTAGGAGCAGAAATAAAGAACGACGGTTTCCAGGATTACCCCCACAGCTTCCATGTGCTGGCAAAGGAAAGCTCACTTCTAGAAAGTTCTGATCAGGATGGGAACAAGCACGGCCCCACCAGTTGCTCCCCACGTAGAGTTAAGAAATAAAATAACGTGGCTGTTTTCTTAGGGTGGCGATGAAGCCATCGTAGTATCTTTGGGCGGGGTGGGTATCCTATACTGCCGGTAACCTGGACCCTCGTTATTTTCCAGATGAAAAAGAGAAAACGGTAAGAGCCACAAAACTTGCTGAGCCTCGTGTGATCCCATGTTCATACGGGCCTCTTTTGAGGGGGTACCCGGTACACAGGGATTTTATCCATACGAGTGATCATAAATGCTCTTGTGGGGACGAGGCCAGCCGCAGCAGCTGCGTGTACCTGTAACGTCTCGCTGTGAGTGAAGACTCACCAAACATTGTTAAGTGGTAAACTCCACGCGGGGTACTCTTCTCTCCAGACAGTGATGGCGCATGGCTGCTACCTTTCCGCCGAGGAACTCAAGGTGTTCAGGGAGCGGGGAGCGGCGCTCTCACACTGCCCCAATTCTAACCTATCGTAAGTAGGCGGTAATCGGTCGGTAGCTGGTGAGCATTTGGGGTGTGAGTTAGCAGCCCAAAGACCTCCGTTTCCTCAGTCATGTCTTTAGTGTCCCTCTTCTAGAGGCCTATCTGATTGGGACAGGGACCAGGGAGGCACACAGACATTCCCCCGAGCCTTAGGGGACAGAAAGGGCACTCGAAAGAGGACACTTTGTGCGGAGTATGCACGCGAAGAACACAGCGTCTTTTAAAATTTCTGAGTCTGCGCAATGCCTCACGTCTGGAATTCATCCTAGACCCTTCTCTCCTAGTTTCTGCGGTTCTCAGCGGCAGCCTGTGAACTGCCAGGCCCCGACGCATCAGCCTGCACCCCCTCTTCCGGTGGTATCCCCTTTCTCTGGCCTTGCAAGTCCCGACTCATTCAGGGCAACAAATTATTCCAGACGGAGAGGAGAGGTGATGCTTTATAATTTGTACGTCTTCACATAGAAGGACGAGTTGGTTAAAAACAAACCAAAACAAACAAAAAACACTGAAGACCAATAAGACTTTTGCACTAACTGCAAGGTCGAATTGCTTCATTTATCTCTCCTTACAAATGATTCCCCTGCTTTCCCTTCTGCTTCTTGCTGCTTTGTACCCTCCTGAGATTAACCTCAACCCAAGGATTAAAGATCCTTTATGATTGTGTGTTCCTCCGGGACTCAGGTGATCTGATGTGGCTAATGAGTTTGTACCAACATGAGAGCCGATGTGACAGGAACCAAGTGTAGTGAAATCACCATCAGTACTGTTGGTGTCCTTTCTTTGTTGGAAGCATGTGGGTCTCCTTGCCCTGACTCTTTCCTCTCTCTACAGGCTCAGCAGCGGCTTTCTCAATGTCCTTGAAGTCATGAAACACAAAGTGAAAATAGGGCTTGGTACAGGTCAGTAGTTTGCTATTTGGACCTAAGCAAAGTGGTTGAGTAAGTGCGTAACTTTCTGATGTGACTAATTTTCAGGTAACAGTTCTATGTTAAAAAAAAAAAAAAAGTTTTATGGGATGCCTGGGTGGCTCAGTCAATTAAGCGTCTGATTTCTGCTTAGGTCATGATCTCGCAGTTCGTGAGTTTGAACCCCATGTGGGGTTCTGTGCTGACAGCTCAGAGCCTGGAGCCTGCTTAGGATTCTGTGTCTCCCTCTCTCCCTGCCCCTCCCCTGCTCACGCTCCGTCTTGCTCTCTGTCTCAAAAGCAAATAAAATAAACATTAAAAAAATGTATTAAAAATAGTTGTATTATCTGCTAGTACTGTCTCGAGCTGATAAAATGGTAAGGTTGGAAGCAGTAAGAAGGGGTTTTGATGATACTAACCTCCTGAAGGCCATTATCCTTGCTTCCTGTTCAGAGATTGGGTGATAAAGGGTAAGTCCTTCTAAGTGTTTTAAAGGTTTTTTGTTGTTGTTTTTTTAAAGCTCCTTGATTTTTGTTCCCCTTTTGTTTTGTCCTTCTGGCTAGGTTTTGATGGTTTGGGTTTGTACGGTTTCAGTTTTTAATAACTATGTCATCGCAAATACTGTCTCAACAGAAAATTATTTGACCTTGCCACATAGTAAGCTCAGATTCTATCGAGGCCAGCATTGCGAACTCGGTGGTATGTTGAGAACTTGTTTTGCTTTTAAGCAGTGTTTCACAAAATGAGATTCCACTTCCCGCAGGTAGTCTGTCGTTGGCTGTGTTGAAGGACAGTCCAGGTGTCTGAGGAATTAGAGATGTCTTTTTTTGTTCGCAGCACATTTTAATTGTTTTTCCTGAGTATGTGCAGTGCTTCTCACTTTGGAAATATGAGACAGGCCGAATGTCTAGGCATATCTGCCGTGAACCTTTTATTACTGTGTGTGAATAAACTAAAAAAATTTTTAAATGGGTGTGGGGCACAAGGATTTATTTTCCATTCCTTTTTTTTTTTAATGCTTATTTATTTATTTTTGAGAGAGCATGTGAATGAGCGTGAGTGGGGGAGGGGTAGAGAGAGGAGAAACAGAGGGAGAATCCCAAGCAGGCCCTGCACTGTCAGCACAGAGCCTGAGGCAGGGCTCGATCCCACCAACCTTGAGATCATAACCTGAGCTGAAAAAGGAGTCAGACGCTTAACCGACTGAGCCAACCAGGCACCGCTGTTTCAGTCAATTTCATACCAGCAATGTTGGTAAGATATACAATAGTACAAAATGAATTATTAATATTTTTAAAGATGTGTGCTATGTTAGATTTTCTCCCCCAATTTTACATGAATCAAAAGAATTAAGATTTTTTTTTATTCTAATTTAAGGCTTCAATCACTGAGACTGTGGCAATACTTGGGTAGAGTCACAGGTGTTAAGGTGGTGATTTTACCTTCACAGAAGAGCTTTAATGAATAAGGAAAACATGGCCAAGAATTTTTGTTACATGCTAGTCAGTTAATGACAAATTTTGTAGGCAGCCAAAAATCAGGTAAGTGTTGCTTTCCAATTTTCTAGGATTTTGGTCTCCATGATTTAAATTCATCATACGACTTTCAGGGGTGCCTGGGGGGTTCAGCTGGTTAATTGTCGACTCTTGATCTCCGCTCAGGTCATGATCTCACGGTTCAAGTGTTTGAGCTCCCCCTCGGACTCTGCACTGACAGTGTGGAGCCTGCTTGGGATTCTGTCTCCCTCTCTCTGCCCATACCCTACTTGTGCGCACGCGCTCTCTCTCTCGTTCTCAAAATAAATAAATAAAAACTTAAAAAAATTCATCACATGACTTCTAGTTCTTGACTTTGGGTTGTATAGCAATGCATAAAGCCTTTAGGTAAAACTGTCACTTATTAGCTGTAAGACTTTGAGCAAATTACCTTAATTTTCTAAGACTTCATTTTGTAATTACAATAACAACAGTTATAGCTATGTGTACCTTATAAGCTTGTTTTGAAGCTTAAATGAAAAAAAAATGCATGCAAAGTGCTTAGCACATTCCTGGCACATTGCACCAGTCAACAAAGAGTGGTTTAAAGGAAAAATCAATGTTGGTGTACTGACCAAAGATTTGATTAAATATGATATATTCACTTACGCATTTGGAGAATGCTATTGCATTTTACATAGTTTCTGTTGAAATATCCCCTCTACATTCCACCCTTTTCTGAATATGCCCTTTATATAACAACCTGCCTGTCCCCTGGAGGCTCCAGAACGTCATTTAACCTCATACTGTAGAGAGACAGCAGGTCCAAAAGTACTTTGTTCACCCTGTCTATCATCAGTGGAGACAGATCTGGGCTTGTTCACCTGTGAGATAGGAGAAACTCACATGAAGCTTAACAAAAACATTGCAAACCAAGAGAAAGTAGTATTCCAAAGGATGAGAAGATGAGCTTATCTCAGAAAATGACCTACTTCAGGATCCAGAAGAAAGTTTCAGAAAATTGCCGTCATCCTTGGAGTACAAGAAGACATGATGCTTTGAAAAGACCACAAGTTGTGATGGAAAAGGAACGTATTTAAATGAAAGAAGAAAACCGGAGGTGGGGGGAGGGCGGGAAGAATGAGACGCACTAGACAATCGCCTGCGGCTGGAGGGACAGTAAGTTTTACAACCACTTTGGGAAACTGGCAAACTGGCAGTTGCTTATAAAGTTAAATATGCATCTGCATATGACCTGGTAATTCCATTCTGGGGTATTTACCCTAGGGAAATGAACATGTGTGTTTATGGAAAGAGGAGTACACGGACGTGTATGCCAGCTGTGTTTATAACAGCCCCACACTGGAAACAATCCAGACACCTGCCGACAGGAGAATGGATAAGCCAACTGAAGCATATTCCTACAATGGAGTGCTACTCAGCATTCAGGAAAGAACGACCCACCGATGTATGCAAAACAAGGGTCAATCTAAAAAATATTTTGTTAAATGAAAAAAGCCAGACACAGAAGAGCACACACTGCATGTCCCCATATGCATGAAACCTAGGGACCGATAGAGCTTACCTGGTGTTGATAAAAATCAGAAAGCGGTTGCCAAGGGTTGGGGCCGGAGGCAGAAATTGACTGGAAAGGGCGGCAAGAGAGCTTGCCGGAGCAATGGAAATGTTTAATATCTTGTTTTTCTGAAAGGTACTTCAATGGCCAGGTACAGTCGTCAGCATTCATCGAACTGGACACCTGCCTTCTGTGCATTTTATGATATCTTAATTATACTTCAGTTTAAAAATAGCAAATAAACTAACCATGTAGGGAAGCTATGCGAAGTAGAACTATTGTTGCAGAAAATTAAATCAGTGATGTCAAGAACAAAGTTGGCCAAAGATCAAAGGGGGTGTTTGAGGATGATCCACGCGGAACGCAGGACAGCATTGCACCAGCACAGGGGAGTCTCCTGGCCCAGGATCCAGAACAAATATAATAGAAGTTTTGAAGGCTAAATCTTTTCCTTAAGCTTAAGAAAGAACTGTGTATCATATTCAAAGAACTTACCCTGTTCCAGGCTAATCATAACTGAACACATTGTGGCAAAATATTGGAGTTACAAAGAAAAAGGAAACAAAAAAGTCTTAAAACAGTGAGGCAGGGAAAAAAAAAAGTCAGTTATCACTAAAACAATTAAAAACCAGTTTGACATGAAAAATACCAAGAGAAAGAAAGAGTTTGGAGCCAAATAGTTGTTACTCAAGAATATTATATTGGACGAGATTCTCCTGTGAAGGCAACAGAATTCTCAGATGTACAAAGTTTTGGAAAATATTCTCCCCATGAACGCTTTGGAAAAACTACTTGAAAATCTACAGCATTAAATGAGTTATGAGGCGAAATAAAGGGCCAGGATCAAGGAAGTGATATTATAATAGAATATCAGCGAAGGCTAAGTCAGTTAAAACAGAAATAAGATTTAAAAAATTGTAAAAGAGTTTAAAAAACGAAAGCAAAAATCAAAAGTGTATCTTAATAGAATGTGCACAGTGTGAAAAGTAATATCTTATAAAAAAGTTATCAGGCTGTGAACCTTAAACTGCTCTAAAAAATAAAGTCAGTAAACAACGGCAACAAATATAAACATTAAAAAAATTAAAATGGCAAATCAGTAAATCAAGAAGAGTCTCCGTCTGGTTGGGAAGAGTTTCCTGGGACCTGAATATTTTACTTTTATACTGAGTGCCAGGTCCTTGAGGTTTGGTATTATATATCCCTTACGTCATTTGAATATCTTTAATCTTTCGTCACAAACTTTGAAAGCGGTACATGCTCTGCAAGAAAAAACTTTCCAAATACTAAAATTTCTTCTATTTTCTGATTTTGTTAACAGAAACCAAGAAATTGCGGTTTCTGTGTAAGGTTAACAGAACGATGTATTTGGCAAGTGGGAACAAAATTCTAAGTATGTAAAATTTCTCATCAGAATAAAGGGACATAGTAAAAAAAAAACAAAAAAAAAAAAAACCAGTAATCTGAAGGGAAAAAAATATGGAACAAGGTTTACGTCAACAAGACCTACGACTTCATTAAAACAAACAACATACATGGAACCAGGGTCCTACTTACTTTCTTTTTTTTTAAATGTTTAATTTTGAGAGAGAGAGAGAGAGAGTGTGTGGGGGGCGGCAGAGAGAGAGAGAGAGACCCAGAATGTGAAGCAGGCTCCAGGCTCTGAGCTGTCAGCACAGAGCCCGACATGATGCTTGAATTCGTGAACTGCGAGGTCATGACCTGAGCTGAAGTCGGAGGCTTAACCGACTGAGCCACCTGGGCACCCCCAGGGTCCCACCTCCTAATGACAATCTCCTGACTTTCTATCTTACTTGTTCCATTACTCCCAAAGCAATAGTTCTTTGACCAACTTGTAAACGCCAAGCCACTGATTCCGTGCTTTCTCAAATCCATTTTCCACTCCTAATTTACCCAGCTCAGATGCCAGAATACATTGCTACAATCATTTCCTTGGAAACTCTCGTGTCCTTTTCATTTTCTTTGTACTCACTTAGCAAAACGTGAACCTCCTTGGTTCTCCCAAGGATTCCTCTTCTTAGCGTCTGCAGCTGAGCATCTGGAAGTTGCTGGGAAAAAAATTCTCCGGTGGGGTTTCATTTTAAATTTTGCTCTCAAATTCCAAATGGCCCTCAGCACTACCCAAACAGACAATCACGTTGCTCTAAATACGCATGCATCCCCGTATTCCAAGACGGCCTTTTCTTATTTGTTTGCCCTAAACTTTCTACTCCAACTCTTACCCTCCTGACTTCTTTACCCTCCTCTCATGTCATTGAGAAAATAGAAACAATTGGAAATCCTTCCCTCCTCTTCCTCACACCAAATGTCCCCACGTACACACTTTCCTGCGTCTGAGTTTTCTCTTCTTCCTCTCGCTGCAGCCAAACAAACACACCCTGAGTGAGGTGTATTCTGTAATCTACACTGTACTCATCCAACCCACGACTCTAATATCTGCCGAGTCCACCCCCTTTCCCCAAATCAGCCACGGCCACCTGAGGTTGCCATGGTTTCTTGCCTAAACTCCTGCACTAGCTTCCTAATTGGTCTCCCATTCATCCCGGGCCCTTCTAATTCAGTCTTCTCTTTTCAAAAGAATTACAGTGAAAATCAGACCATTTTACCTCCTCCTGCTTACACCCTTCAGTGGGGTTTTGAATAGGGAAACCTCATGCCAAGGCACACAAAGCTCTGTCTGCATGGGTTGACACCCGTCCAGCTCCCAGCCTTGTCTCTCACTTCTCCCCGTTCCCTACACTGGCTATGTTTTAAACCACTCTGCGAAGTCACACTCCCTTCTACCAAAAGAACTTGTGCATTCTGTTCCTCTGCCTGGAATGCCCTTTATGTCACTCTTTATATGGCTGAGTTCTCACTCCTGTCCTAGTCTAAATATCATTGCCTTAGAGAGGTCTTTTCTTGACCGTCCTGGCTAAATGGGTTTTCCCTGTCCATTTTCTTTATTACTAGCTGAATGTTATCTATACTTAATATTTGTTTGTTCATGTGTCTCTTTTCCTTCTCCTTCGCCAGGTAGTTGGCTCGTGTGGAGCCCATAACTTTTACTTATGAGTGCTTAAATAGATCAAGCACATAGAAGGTGCTCAGTAAATGACGGTCAATAAATGAATGAATGAAACAAAATGCACACGCACATATCTAATCATGTGCTTTTACCTTCCCATTGCCCTTTGGCTCAAGTTTTTACTCTTGTATGGTTTCTTCAGTGTCTTCTCGTAAATAATGTCCTTCGTGTTGACTGGCAAATGATATCGTTCTTCCTCATTGTGATGGTAGAGGGACTTGGGGGTTTGGGAATCCATTTTCTGCAAAAATGCATTCTTTTTGCCCCCTCCAGTTCCCCCATGTAGTTTCCATCCTTTAGTCCTTATTTCTTTGCACTTATGCTATTTAATTGGATTTTCTCAGCAACTGTTAAGGTAGGTCATGTTATTTTAATTTTCTGAGAAAACTGAGGTTCATAAGGTACCGACCAAAGGTCTATAAAACAATAAAGCCCCAGATCCACAGTTTAAAACCAGGTCAGTAAAATGTAAAGCTCATTCTTTCTCTCTCCACCCCGTCACGCTGCCTCTTGTGATATGATAAAATAGGGATTTTACCTTCATTAAATGTGTTGCAGGGAGGTGTTGGGGGGCAGGGGGAAACCATTGAGCTCACTGGGTATCTTAGGGATCAGGAAGTTAGTTACTCTGGACAGAAATTCCCAGAAGAAAAGCTTGACTCTTACACCAATAGTCCAGACTAAATACCAGGGTCCATTCATTCTTTCTTCGGCACAGTATGGTTCCTATTGGTACTTTACTGACATAACAACTGAAGAATATAGGATCCTCAGCAACATAATAAGACAGCTCTCAAAATTTTCTCAGTGAATTGCATAGCATTGTTTTCTAATCTGCCTTTATTCTTTCTATATTGTTAGTTTTTATTAGATATTGAAGAAAATACTACTTTCTGTCATATTTCATAAAACCTGTTTTTTTTTAACTGCATTAGTCAAATCTTCCCTGTTAATACCATCCTAATGGCATTGCTTTTGTTTTTGTTCCTTTCAGTCTTTGTCCACATACAGTTGACCCTTAAACAATGTGGGGGTTGGGGATGCTGACCCCATGCATAGTCGAAAATCTGTGTATAGTTTGACTCTCCCAAAACTTAACTGTTAATAGCCTACTGTTGACTGGAAGCCTTACCCAAAACATAAACAGTCAGTTGGCACATATTTTGTATGTTATATGCATTGTATACTGTATTCTTATACTAAAGTAAGCTAGAGAATAGAAAATGTTACTAAGAAAATCATAAGGAAGAGAAAATGTATTTACGATACTGTACTCTATTTAAAAAATCTACATATCACGTGTTGTTCAAAGGTCAGCTGCATTTTGAAATATATATTCAGTCTTTACATGTTTCCATACCTTATGGTGATAGCATTTTTATTCTGCATTTACACTTAACGTTTGCTTGGTTCTAGCAATAAAAAGTAAGCAGACGATGTTTTTCAAAGTTAAAAGTACGTTATTTCTGAATCTTATCTGAAATTTTTCTAGTTTGAAGCTATGGTAAAATGAAGATTTAATGGATTGTTACTAAAATGGACAAATAACTTTTCTTAAATTTAAGTTATTTTAATTCCAGTTAGTTAACAGTGTTATATTCGTTTCAGGTGTGCAATAGAATAATTCAACACTCCCATACATCACCCCGTGCTCATCAGGACAAGTATACTCCTTAATCCCCATCACCTATTTAACCCATGCCTTCACCCCCTCCCCCTAACAGCCATCTGTTTGTTCTGTATAATTAAGAGTCTGTTTCTTGGTTTGTCTCTCTTTTTCTTATTTTTTTCACTTTGCTTGTTTTGTTTCTTAAATTCTACATGTGAGTGAAATCATATGGTATTTGTCTTTCTCTGACTGACTTATTTCGCTTAGCATAATACTGTTTAGCTCCATCCATGTTGTTGCAAGCGGCAAGATTTCATTATTTTTTATGGCTGCATAATATGCCTGTGTAATATGCCTGTGTAATATATATATGTGTGTGTGTGTGTGTGTGTATATATACATATACATTTATATATATATATATATATATATATACACACACACACATATATATACACACATATATATCATATCTTCTTCATTAAAATGAACTAATAACTTAGGTAGATGTAATAAAACTTGCCAAAGAAGTGGATGATCTTCTGGTAGTATTCATCTGCTAGAAGAAAAAAATTTCTAAAAACAATTCCATACATGTTATCTAAGGACATAGAAGACAGTTGCACATAGAAGTGAACTGCAGACTAGAGATTATTACTTAATAGGCTATTACTTTCCACTTTTGAAGTATATGTAGACACTGAGAATTAAGTTTGTCTACCTGGAAATGCAGAAGGAACCCTTAAAATATAAAAGGTATTTTATTAGTTACAGATGTACTTTTCCTTTAATAAAACATGCTAATTTATTTACTTGGCATTTATTTACGCAAATGCATTTAATAACTTCTACATTTGTTCTTGTCAAACGTAGCATTTCAACTTAATTATGGTTAGAGACTTTATTTAAATCACTAAAAATCACATTCCTCATCTGATGATGATGCCAACCAACATATAAAGCTGTTTACATCAGCACTGTTCATTTATTACACTAATTTTCCAGAATGTCTAAGTTCATTTTAAAAGCTATCCCTGAAAAATTATCATAAAGAGGTAGCTTTTTAATGCCCAAAGTTCTCATCTGGATTAGAATAGACTTAGGATGAGATTTTAGGGCATAAGAGCATGAGTTTGTTTTAAATCTCATGTTACCCAAATTACCTTCGTAACTATGCAGACATACTTCTGTGAGGCTTCAGGGAATATTCAGAGATAAGAGTTTCTTCCCTTAACTTTATTAACCATTTGGGCATTGTACTGGGTTGAATTGTGCATTTCTGCCCCCCCTAAAAAAGATGTCTACTGGAACATGTAAATGTGACCTTGTTTGGAAAAAGGTCTTTGCAGATGTAATTAAGGTAAGGATCCCAAGATGAAGTCATTCTGAGTTAAGGTGGGCCCCAAATCCAATGATGAATGTTCTTATAAGAGAAAATGAGCAACATGTAAAGGCAGAGGGAAGTAGGCCATTTGAAGGCAGAGGCACATATTGTAGCTATATTGCCACAAGCCCTGGAACGGCAGGAGACACCAGAAACTGAAGCAGCAAAGAGAGATTCTTCCCCAGAACCTTTGTAGGGATCGTGGCCCCGCCAACAGTTTGATTGAAGACTTCTGCCCTCCAAAACTCTGAGAGAATACACGTCTGCTACTTTAAGCCACCACATTTGTGGTAATTTGTTGTGGCAACCCTAAGAAAGGAATACAGGTATCCATTTGATGCTAATTGCAGGTTTTCAATTATTTTAAATGTTACTGTATACCTATTCTGTGTTTAGATAAGATCTTTTCTTTGAAGTATATTGCAGACTGAATATCAGTCACTAAAACCAAAAAACCAACCTCATATACCTCGTACTCCATATACCTCATATTCCATTTATCTCATGAAGTGACTGCTTTGGCTTTATTTTGTCTACCGTAGATGTGGCCGGTGGTTATTCATCTTCCATGCTTGATGCAATCAGAAGAGCAGTGATGGTTTCCAATATACTTTTAATTAATAAGATAAATGAGAAAAGCCTCAGCCTCAAAGAGGCCTTCAGACTAGCTACTCTTGGAGGCAGTCAAGGTAATGACCATTTTCTTTCTTTCTTGAACAGTATACAACCATGCCGATCTGTGTCCTTGCAAGCAACGTGAAGGCACAGGAGGGTCGCATCAGCAGGCATCCCATACTCATGACTGTCGTATCTCATATTACATATCCCAAATTTAGCGACTTAAGGTTCAGATATGTGGCGGAGATGTCATTTCTTCAGCAAGCCCCCTGTCTTTGACAGAAGACATGCTCGGCACACAATTATATTAATTTTGCTTTGCTGGATATTTGCAATGGTCACATGTGAGTTCTTTAAAATAATCAGTTTTTTTTCCCAGAGTCAAGTAACATGCTCTCTGTTGGCCTGAGTGATGATAACAATAATAGTAAAAATAATAGCCAAGAGCTACTGAACTCTCAACAGATGACAGGCAGTATGCAGCATGCTTTACGTATGTTGTTCCTCAATCCTTATAACCACTGCGACGAATTCCACCTTACCAGTGAGATACCTGAATGAGGCACACACAACCATCAAGGTACAGAGCGCCATGGTTTGAACCCAGATCGTCTGATGCCAGAGCGCAGGTTCTTACCCTTGCACTGTGATACCTTCCTCTATAAATCTTAGAAATGCAGGATGATAGTAGCTGAGAGTATCCTGGGAAGATAACTTCCTGGCTCTTCTTTGAATGTTTGGGGCTATGATGAATGCCATAAAGAACATTGAAAAAAACAAAACACAAGTAGAGGTCATGCTCTTGGCATTTTCCTGATGATTTCGTTTTCTGAAGTTCCAAGTTTTAAATCGCCCATTTTTAAAAACAAGTGTGACACTCCCCACCCCCACCCCCAGTCCGTTTGTGCATCTGAGTTTGAGTAGCTGGCCTACCATCTTATTTTCGGGGTGCGAATGGATTGTACTTAAATGGTGCTTTTTTTATTCTAGACTCTCTGTGAGGTGCTTCATCAGGATCCTGTATGTGATCAAGCTGGTATGGGGTGCTTACCAAATCCTTTTCTGTCTTGGCTGTATAGCGTTTAAATCTATTTTCTGGGCCACTGATCTTCTTGTGATGAAATTTCTTCTCCTTAGCTTGTGCCTCTATGACACTATGAGGGAAATGAGACGAACAGTTCCCTGTTTAAACTGTGGCATCTTCCCAGCTTGCCACAGCCTTTACATTCACTCTCAAGATCAGGATGTGCATAAATCACCCTCGCAGAGACATTTGCTCCAAGGCTGCAAAACTGCATTTCCTGAAACATATCTGAACTGCTTACCAGCCCTGCTGGGCCTCTCTGCAATAATCTGAATTTAGACCAATTTACAAATTTACGGAAGCAATTGTGTCTTTTTTGGTTAGTTCATGCCTGACTTTCCAGCTTCTAATGATTAGCTCAGTTAGTTTATATATACCATTACACTGGCAAATGAAGCCGGTTCTCTGGCCTATTAAACACACAACCATTTTATGTTGAATACGGTCATTAAAAACTCATATTTGTTATACTTCTTTGTCAAAGGCAAAAAGAAGTAGATTGTAATTGGTAAAGGAGGAGAGAATTTCCGCTGATTTTCTATTACATTTGGTCCTTCCCCACATAATTAGTAGAAGTCACCTAACTGCCTTTAACCTTTTCTAATTCTTTTTACACCCCTGTCTTCCTAAAAGAATTCTTTAGCTACACACTCTTTTTCTTTTCTGAGAATAAAGGAATTGCCCTTTAAATAATCTTTTAAGAACAAGTAGGATTTCTACATCAGTACTTAGACAATTGCCAAAAGACTACTGGATATCCATATGTAGAAATATAATGTACCAGATATTGTCCGACAGAGATACGTAATCCAGTATTTTCACATTGGACTCTATCCTTCCTGTGACAGAATACAACCAACACATGTAAAAATTCAAATAAATAAAGCTGCCCTCCAGCTGGCCTTCCTTTTACGCATGCTTCCATTTGGCACCTCAGTGCACACTTAAATTACAGCCTTTAAGGAGCTTTAGACTTAATACCTTTATTGACTAGGAAAGCCAACCACTCCCATCTTCTGAAACTAAATCATAAGTGACAGATGTTCTTCCTTGACATCCAATATTCATGGAACATGAAGTCTAGCTTTGCGATGGATCAAGTCAATAGATGTTATTGACCCATGCCTATTTTAGAAAACCATTCTTCCCTGGCAACCAGAAAGCCCTTGAGGGTACAGAGAAATCAGTCTGCTTTCAAAAGTGTTGGGACTCTTGAGTTATGGGGATCTATTTACTTTCAGAAGCGAATTTTCTCCAGTCACAGGATGTAAACCGAGGAACTTATGATGGATATGCCTGCATTCGCAAATATGTAAAAGGATACTTATTTTTTTATTGACTCGAGGTTCATTTCACTGCCATGAAAATAAATCCAGTCAGCTGTTTCATGGAACAAAAAGGGCAAGGAAAAGAGCTGGAATGTGAGGGGAGAAGGAGAGGGAAGAAGAAGAAAGATATTATGTCAATTGTCATGTTTGTTTGAGGGATGAATGGAAATCATAGACCAGCTGGACTGTGAAATGCACTGACAGAGCTGAGATAGACCGACGCCATCCGAATCGTAGATCGTGGTGATGAGGGGAACTGTCTTGATTCTTAGATTTTGCTTTCTCTGTCCTTATTCTGCTTTCTGTATGTCAAAGTTTTAGGACCGCTTGGAAGGAGAGAGCTTTTCTGCTTCACACTAAGATACTAACTTTTTCTAGTGATATGTTGGCAGATTCTGTCCTTGCAAACTGGGACATTTTCACCACCTGATGGCTCCAAAGACTGACTGTTTATTAATTTATTCCACCCTGTAGCCCTGGGGCTGGAAAAAGAGATTGGAAACTTTGAAGTGGGCAAGGAATTTGATGCCCTCCTGATCAACCCCAAAGCGTCTGACTCTCCCATTGACTTGTTTTCTGGGGATTTTTTTGGTGATCCGTCGGAAGTAAGTAAAATAAATTTCATCAGAAGGCATAGATTTCATGAAGTAGTCACAATATCTTCCCTATAGAAAAAAAGATAGAAACTGAAACTTTTCATGGAATGCAGGAGGATCTTAAAAGGGACGCTAGATCCTTTTCAACTGTTTATCATTTGCCAATGCAATGTGAATAATGGTACTGACAGAAATCGGTATCTTGAAGATATTTGTATATTTGAATGTATTTGACTACAAGAAGCCACAATATACCTATTCCTTATTGATCACTTGCTATGTGCTAGGTAGTATGGGATTAAGTACTTCCATGCATCCTTTTTGATCAACCATTAGAATGACTCTTAATGACACGCAAATGCTATTAATATCTCTCGTTGCTCACATGGGCAGTGAGGCCTAATGGAAGTTAAGTGATTTACCTAAGGACTCCTGACTAGTAATTAGTAGTTAGTAGATACAGTTTGGATTCCAGCCCAGGACTTTCTGACTTCCAGAGTCTGGCCTCTTGACCACAATGCTACCTTGATTTTCTTAACTTTATAAGAAAATGAGTTTTATTACCTTGTTCCTCTTATTTTAAAATATTTTTTCTATGTCTAAACTGGTTCTTCCTAACAACTCTTTATAAAACTGAGTTTTTCTAGAAAGTAATTAACTATTACTGATGTGATGAGGGCTGGGAGCGAATGATCAGGAAAGAATTCTTGAGATGTTTTTGGTGCAAAAAGATGTTTTTATTTAAGCATGGAGACAGGACCCTTGGGCAGGAAGAGCTGCTCTGGAATTGTGAGGAACAATTGATTATATACTTTTAAGTGGTGGTGGTGGGCAAGGGTGGTAAAGACAAAGGAAGTTTCTAGAAGGTATTTTCACATGTTAAAGAAGACTCATAGGATCCTGGAAGTCGTGGCTATTGTCAAGGAAGGTTGCATTTTACCTCTAGCAAAGTGTTAACATCAAAGCAGTTTTGAGTTCCTTGAGGAATGTCCTACTCTGCCTGTCTCAAGTATTTGTCAATGGGCTGCAAGTTCTAGGGAAATTTAACTTTGTCTACATTTCTTTTGCATTTGTTCTCCTCATCACTACTACTTATACATCGATACACTGGTGAGAGTAAACAGGACATTATATATAACTTGTCAAGGTTTTTAGAAGAAAGATGCCAGATTGCTTGAAGGTGGTACCATTTGTTATTTTTATATTACTTATTTATTCTTTTACTCCTTCATTAAAGTAAATTTGTGGGAATAGGGCTGAGTCCCATTCACCCACTTTTCTTATACACCTCTTAAAATATTTGAATTATTTTATTAAATTAATTTCTTTAATTTATGTAACACTTTTCTCTGAAGATTTCAATATCACATGCCAAGAACTTTTACATAATGGATAAACATTTGTTAATAGCCAGGATTATTTTTAAGCAAAAGACCATTTCTTTTTCACTAATACAGTAGATTTTGCCATTGAGAAATACATTTCTATGTCTGTGCTTTGCCAACCGCTATTGGCTATGAATTTACTTTCCTAAATGCACAGAATTTTTTTTCTTATTATTATTCTATTTTGTATTTTAGGCTGTTATCCAGAAGTTCCTCTATGTAGGTAGGTGGTTATATGTCTCTGTGGGAAATAAAATCTTTGCTTGTCTCTTTCTTGGGTATGGCTCCCTATATTTGTGGCACCACAGGCTAAACCCTATGCGTGGCCATTTTATTTGGTTTATTATTTTATTTTAACATTTCTCAGCATCAAGCCCATTTAGAGCACACTATTTAAAGGCACTATTTGAAATGCACATGCCTCTCTGAGAGATAAACCCAAAGCTGAGGAATGGCAGGCAGGCCCAGGGGAGGGGCCATCCTGTCTCTTCCTCCTACATTCGCTCTGTCCGCCCCCCCAAGGCTACCCTGCCATGTCGTATTTGTGATGTTTGTGGTGGAGTCTCACTGCGTGTGGTTTTTTGTGTTTTGTTTTGTTTTAATGTACTCACATTCCATTCCGTTCACTGAGAGAGAGAAATAAAGAGTACCGAAGGCTCTACCTTGCCTCCACTTGGTCCACTGAGCTCTGAGTCCTGCATAAACCTGAGATGGGAGAGACGCAGGTGCTATTTCTTGAGCTCACTTCCTGCAGGCCTTCCACCTCACCACCCAGAGTATGATTCTGAGGTGTAAAGATAGTATTTCCTTTACATTTGGTGCTGGAAATGCAAACCACTCCAGCTGAAAGGGAGCGGACCCAACTTTCTGTGATTTCTGCCTTAGATGCAGAATTCCAACCCTAATCCTCAAACTCGAGGCAACATCTTCCCTTGGCCATGTCCCCTTGTCCAGATGAGAAACAATCTGAGAGAAAAAAGGCACCTTTGTGCGTTTTCTCTCATAGAAGTGGTATTTGTTTCTAAAACCCGCCCGGTGGCAATTAGAATACTCCAGACATAAAAGCCCTTGATGAATGATTCTCTCATTTTTCTTTCAGGAGATGACCGAAATATTGAAGAAGTTTACGTGGGCGGAAAGCAGGTGGTACCCTTTTCAAGCTCAGTGTAAGACCCTTGGCCTCTACCAGCTCTGGGATCACGTGGTTCTGCGTCTCCCTTGTGCCCGGGTAGAGTTAGAAAGTCAAAAAATAGTATCTTGTTCTTGGGATGACTATCTCTTTCTGTGTCTAGTTACAGTATTCACTTGACAAATCATTTGAAGGAAGTTGCATTAATTCTCAACTCTGTTTGCGAGGATTCAAAATTTCTCCCTTTTGAGCTGTTCGGATTTACTTTAAGCTCAAACATAAGGGAATGTTCTTCCTGATGGTGTTCTTACTATGAGATTTAAATGAAATCACTCCATATTTGGAAATGTGGAGAGAAAAGATACTCCTATAAGGTTAGATACTTTGAGCTAATAAATGTGAAAATCAGAAATGGAGAATGAAACAGTGGATATATTTTTATGAGGGAGAAAAAGTTAGACTATGAGCAGACATTGGAAAATCAATTCAGATTATGTTTGAAAATTAAATGCTGAGCATATTAATTTCAGAAGAGAACTTGTTGAATTTTAAAATGTGTTTCTAGATTGACCTTGTGTTCTAGAAATTTGCACTTAATGGAATTTGCATTTCAGAGATGTTATTGTTGTGCTTTGCCTTCTTTGGGCATGAAATGTCAGAAACTGGATGCCACATGCTTTCTTAATACAGTTCTGTGCTTAAAAGTGTTCGACAGAGGTTGGGTATTAAAGATTTAAAGTCTCTTAGGAATATTATTCATATAACTACATGGCATAAATAGTGATATTTTTGTGTACTTCAGAATCACCTTAAAGTATAACTGTGTGACGCTATTATTGCTTCCGTGTTATTAGAAGAGAAACACATTCCATACTCCACACTGTTGTGTAGACTGGTCATCCTAAACTGGGGTAAGTGCTGGATGTCCAGGATCCGTCAGTACTAAAAGGAACGGTTCCATTGCAATGACGTATTCTCTCCAAGAGTAATGCCACCGTTGCTGAAAATTTCATACTCGGATATCAATCTGTTAGAACTTTGAAATTAAGGACAAATTCAACTAAAAATATTGTTACAAATCTTTAAATCCTGCTTATCGAAAGTACTCTGTGTTTCAATTTTATCCTATTGACTTTTTACTTCAAGTAATTTTCAGGACATCAGAATTTTAGGATAATGAAAACTATGTAGATGTCCCACGTAATAGTTATATTAATAGGACTTAATCTGTACTAGACATCTAGGAACATGAAACAAAGCAAAAAGTATTGTTATGCCTCCCAACTCTTACAGTGCGCTTTCCCATACCCCATAATTAAAAACAAATTGACTTTATGATAAACCCTTAAGAAGTATTGATGTGACTGTCACTTAAATACTACATTTTTCTCGTTTAATTCCAAATACTATAAACCAATATGGAAAAGGAATAGATTTTCTTAATATATCATAACACTCATGCTTAGAGCTTAAGTGTGACTCTTTATTATTTACTTTAGAGAGAGAACTTTATGTAATATCATATAGCTAACTCCATATTTACCGAACTAAGACCAAATTCCTCTTGTACTATACTTTGTTCTCACATAGTTATGCTAAATCAGCAGTAATTTGATTTGCCTCCTTTTTGTTTTTTGTTTTTGTTTTCCCAGTGGAAACACTTTTATAATTGATTTTGTATACACAACACCTACTGATCTTATTTTTATTCTTTTTAAGAACTTTTCTTATTTGAGTACCGTCGACTCACAATTTGATCTCATTTTAAAACAACAACAACAACGACAGAGTTTGTGTTGTGGGATATAAAGTAACTCAGTAAATTCAGTTTCCGGTGTCAATGTCTGTATTTCCAGAATTCCTAATTCCCGAGCTATGTCAACAAGGCCCCTCCAGTTTTCTCCCCATTTCTCTGTAGTGTTGACTGAGTGTTTGCTGCTCTGCCTCCTAGTCCCTGCCAAAGGAACATGATTACCTGGTGTCTAACCCACAGGGGCGGGCTTAAGAATTTGGATGAGACACGCAAAATCCACTAATAGGCAGCGGCTATCCCTAGCTTTTGCAAGATCCTACACTTGTACCTTCCTTAAAGATGTACATTTTGACGTTGAACATCAGTTTTCATTTAGACTAAGGATTCATACACGGTGTATATAAGTAAGCGCAGCATCAGCGACAAGTAGAATGGATCTATACCACCGATTTGTCGAACATTAAATGTAGCCCAGTAGGATGTTAAGACCCTACTATCTTTTCTAGTAAAAATAGAATGTGTTGACATGTTTACATGTAGTTTGATCTCCCTGCATCACTTACAACTTACGTGTTTGGTTTCTCCAAGTGCCGTGTTCCGAACGTCGCATATGCTTTTTGCAGCGCTACAGGCATTGGCCATACATGTGGCCAAATGCTCTACACTTTGAAACCTTGGCTTTGCCTCATGCGGCTTAACTTTCTGAATTGTGGACAGGCGGTATTTCAACCCAACACGGTTTGTCACTTTATGTTTGAATATTTTGCTCTCTGACAGGAAAGAAAGAATTAATTGAGACTTCTTATCAGCCCCCTCACCTCACCTGGCACTGTTTGCCTCGGGTTTTATGGTACTTTTAGTGGCATACACATTAGCAGGTAAAAACTGATTCAATAGTGGTGACTAGCACACATTTCAAAGGTACTTTTTACAACAGAACACCGGCCGAGCTGCACTGCAGGCCGAGCAGCTAAGGTGCACTGAATTTCCAAAAGGGAATGAAACATGGGACTAGGGCCCGAGAGGTTGTCCTCATAATCATAACCTGAGACTGAGACCCTGCTCCCTTCATAAGCTCCTTCTCTGATTTAATTGTCAAGGGCTCTAGAATCCAAGAGAGTATCTTGAACTAGCTCCCTTCATGGCAGGAGGAGATCTTTCTGAGTTATTATTGCGAAAATTGAACCCCACTGAATCTCTTTTTCACTTCCGTGAGAATTCTGCATGGTGAAGGGAGGAAAGTAGTTGGAAACACTCCTGTTACGCTCAGCTGATTTTGAACTGTGCCCTTGAAATCCCTGTTGGCAACTAAAGCTGAGATGTCAGAGAGGAAACATAATGGATGTGAGATCCAGCAATGTATTTTGAATCTTCACTCCCTTCCAGACTCTTCCTATTTTTAATCTTTTCACCTCAGAACTAGACATATGGAAGGCTTTCAAGGCAAGCTGGAAGGCACGTTGGATCAGTTCTACCTTGTGCTATACCTAAAAGATCTCCAGAAGTGGAGGCTTGTGTAGTAAGTAGCCTCCGGGACATCTTTTCATTTTTGTCCATTTTTTTAAAGTTGATGATGCTTCTGGACACATTCACATGTCTGAAAGGAGTGTTCGGAATTTTATAAGTTAGACGAAGAATTGTGTCATGGCAACGTCTTGAAATAATTTTCAGATTACATGGATTGTTATGAATTTTAGAAGAGATATTTGCAACTTCAGGTCTACCTAGCCCCTTTAGGTATGATTTTGGACCCCAACCCTTTTCAGTGTCTCTAAAGGAAAAGTGTGGAAACAAGTGCAAAGATGAAGGAAGGGACACTGTTGGCAAGCCCTAGCATTGGTCCCCATGCATGTTTTCACACCCGTCCTTTCCGTCCCACAGCCCCAAAGGCGAGAGATTGAGGGCTGAGGGGTTAGTTTGTAAATCTGATCCGAATTTACTGAAATGCAAAAGTTGAACAGGCCAGTGATGGACGTCAGTATAAATTCCAAGATGGCTTTCAGAGTCCACGGGGTTCAAGTGACTTGAGTCACAGATATTACATGGCATTGACTTACCTGTCCACTTCCTACTCAAGAGCCTGTCAGAAAGCATTCTCTATCGAAAACCACCTTCCATGGTTGTTAAGCTCTTGATTGCTGCTTTCAAGAATATATATGTGTGTATTCATGGGGACATTTTTACTCAATATTTGTGTGATTTGCTTACTGTTCATGTGCTGAGTGAACTCCTTTGTGCTTCAGACAAAAATAAATGAGATTTTGTGTTTACATTTTTTTGTTGTTGTGAGTTCTATCATTCTGACAGAAGGGAGATTAATCTTACAATGCTTTCCTCCTTTTAACGTGAAGTTTTAAAAACAGAATATTTAGCTGTGGACCAACATGTATCATGACATTTTATGACAGATAATATACATAACTTTAAAAAATTAAGCTATAATGTCAGCCCTTCAGAATCAGATTGCGATCGCTTTTGATTTCTGCACAGTTAAATTTCCTATTTTCCAAAGTCACAACCTAGAGTCAGAAATGCACTTGAGCATCAAGAATTAGTTCATACCTAACATATGTGCATGTGGATTTAAAACAAAACTCTCACAAAATAATACTCTCCATAACTGTGATGCCCCGGGCTACTTTCTGCACTATTACTCTGTTCCATCCTTTTGTGTTCTGTTCTATGATATTTTCTTCTAAGTTTTTTTTATGCTGATAGTGATTTTGCAGGTTGGTTTCTTGGTCCTGGTGGGCTGGCAGCTGCAGTGTGGAAGCGGAATTTCTAGTGTCTTTTGAGCTGTTTAAGTCTCCATGACCCCATTCTGTGATTGGGGACTGACCTAAGTACCTGCCTCAGAGTAGTGAGGATTAAATAGAATAATACATGGCCAGCTCCCTGGAGAGCATCTGAGACCAAGTGAGGGCTCACCATGTGGTAGTTATTATTTTTAAAATGAATACAGACTGAACAGAAATAAAAATAATTTGAACTGTATTTTTATCAGTTTATTTTTTAGAATCTAAATCAAGTGATGTTAAGGATCTCTCTGCGCATAAAAATATTCTGTAAGGATTAAATCTGATTTCTCCCCCCCTGGAGCTATGATGTTCATTTTTTCTTTATAACACGAAGCATAAGAAAGTGGTAGAAGATTTGGTCTTTAAATTCACCCTCAATTTTCTGAGCAAGCCACGAAGCATCTTTTCTTCCTCCTGAAGAACAACTTAGTGAAAATACCCAGAAGAGAATTCTCAGGCGCATAAGCTAGCGATAACGTGTGCCTAATTT